TTCATTTATGAGTCAAACAATGCAGCCACATTCTTAAAATGAAAAAGCATTCCCAGAAATGCTTTTTCATTTTAAATATGGTAACGATTTGCTTCAATACTTCAACTCGTTGCCCATAGGAAGACGTTATCTGGATATAACCTAACGGAATATCTTCAGAATATCTCCAAATGACACAAAACTCATATGGGTGAGTAGAACATGATGGAATAACGTAAAATCAAGGGCCCAATGTAAAGAAAAAAAAAAACGGTGTTCCCCTTTAACTGAGGTATTATTAGTTGAAGGTTGTGTTCCAATTGTTTGTTTTACTTGTTTTTTCATTTCCATCTGCTTTAATTTTCCTTCTATTGTTTAATTCATGAAAAACAGCATATTTTAACATATTCTAACTTTATCTGCTGAGTTCTGTCAGTAGGTTTTACTAACAGATACCAAGGTTACCTGGAAGTGGTGCTCCTCTATGAGCAGCGTGACATCCAGCAGCAGGCGCTCTTCGTAAAGTGCACGGAAACCCGACGACACGCTCCCATCATGCACCTGGGACAGGTACACCTCCACATCTCCCCCCGACATAACACACCTGAAGGTGTGAGGAAACCAAAGCATCAGTGAGTCAAACTGGAGAAAAATAAATTCAGGGGCTCACAAACTGCAAAGGTCTCTTTGAGATGAAGGTAGTTTTTGTGTGATCGCTGCAGCAGCTGGAGTGATATTTGATGAGGTGGCCAGCACTTCAGCCGTTCCACCTCACCAAACATTTGAGCTTCACAGACACACAGTCTGAAGGAGAACTACCAGCTCCTCGCCTCATTCTATATGGAAATGTGCAGCAATGATCGCACAAAAACCCAGCATTAAAACACAGAAATATCCACAAACACTCACCTCTGATTGGCCACGGGCATGTCAGAGGGGGTTGTCCGAGCCAATCAGAGGACAGTGCCCCTTGTGTCCTGTAGATGCTAACAAACTCCCTTTTGTGAGCGTCAATCACCTGAACGACAGAGCGTTAAAAACAGCGTTAAAAAGCAACGTTACCGGGTCACAGCGCGGCTGAACGTGCAGGTGGAGCGTGTCTGCACATGTTCAGCCGGTCTGCTAATGACAACAGCTTCAATAAAAATCTAAACAAACTTGCTAAATATTTCAGTCAGAAAACAACGTTAGGACGTAGAAGGTAGTTATAGTCAGAATTAAAAAGATGATATGAGTTTAATATGAAAATTATCATGTAGCTTATTAAATCAAAGTCATTTAAGCAGATTAAAAAGCTGTTTTAATAATTTATGGATGTTTTAGCAGCAAAATACAAGAAAAATGATCAAAACTGCAGAGGATCTATCCTGGAGCTTCCCCTTAAGGACTGCAAAAGATATATTTTTTCACCAATAAGGAGCACATTTATACATCTATGTCTTTATGAATGAATCTGTCCATCTAATCGTCTTATTTCAGTTTACTATGGAGTTCCACAGGGCTGAGCACTCGAGAGAGTTTACTTTTCAGGAGCAGTCATTCCCAGTCGAATAGCAGCCCACTTCCCTCCAACTCCCAGCCACTGGAATCACCCCCTAATGCATATTTTTTACTCTGACTCCACCCTTTCACTGAATCACAGAGTCTGACCTGGACATGACGCTTCTCTTTAGATCTTAATGCCCACAAATAATGACAGAAAGAATATTTTAGAACAAAGATTGATGTTTAAAAAGGAATCGTAGGGGACTGGTCAAGGACCCATCAAGGAAAGTGGGGACATTTTGAATGGCTTCTACTGTAAATAACAGTTTGGTTATGATTTTTAGATAAACATAATCAATATGTAATGATATTCAAGCGACAAATACAGCAGGTATTTCTAGGTCAATTTTTATTTTTTCTTGCATTGGCTGATGCGTGCATACGTTAGCTGATTAATTAGCGTATTGAACAGCCATGCCTGGAGATCATGTGAACATGTATTGTTGCTCCCACCGTTTGCTATCCATCGTTTTATATTTTTTAAAATTGAGATCTGTGTAACATTTGTTAGAACTGGATTGGCTCTAAGATTGGGTCCAATAATATCAGCAGCACATCCTGAGCATCGGACTGATGTCAGAAAAAAAAAAATTTAAAGAAACAGTCTTAAAAAAAGCTGTGTGAGTCGACTCTGATATTCAGGTAGATTTATTAGACATGCACTGTGAAGTCAGGCTGTGACTGGGATTAGTAGATCTTCTGCTTACTACGAGACAAAACCCAGATCCCATTGATCCGTTTGTCCATCCCAGTCATCTTTATCTCTGTAATCCTGTAGTTCTCAAACATCCATCCACTAATAGTTCTTTTAATTCCTCCTACTCACCATTTATCTCTCGGTTCACTCTGTCCCTCCTCCATCTTATTTCCCAGCCGTGCATTCATTAGAGGCCGGCACTTTTTCTATCTTTATCGCGATAAATGTCTCCTTGTGATAAGAATTTTGATTTAAGATAAGAGATAAATTGTCAGGGCTGCTCAGCGGGGTAGTGGGTAGCACTGCTGCATGGCAGCAAAACGGTTTTGGGTTCGATTCCCCGCCCGGGCTCTTTCTGAATAAAGTTTGCATGTTCTCCCTGAGCATGTGTGGGTTCTCTCCGGGTACTCCGGCTTCCTCCCACAGTCCAAAAACCTTTGTTGGGTTAATCTAAATTCTCCTTAGGTGTGAGTGTGTGTGAATGGTTGTTTGTCCTGTATTTCCCTGAAATGGACTTGCGACCTGTCCAGGGTGTCCCGCCTCTCACCCATTGACAGCTGGAGATAGACACCAGCACACCTTAACAACCCCACTTGGGCTAAGAGTGATGGAAAATGGATGGATGGATAAATTGTAAACAAAATAATTTTTACTGCTTTTGTTTTCCATTTGGGGGTTGAAAAATGTGAAGAATATGATTATGTCTGGTCCCTGTGGGATGTTTGGTGACATAAATCACACTTTTTCTTGCCAATATGAGGGGATGTGACCTTAGAACTGGAGCAATATGTTTTAGAACAATAACATCTTTTATTGTGTCATTAAAAATTGAGAAAATGAATGTTCAACAGATCATTTAAACAGCAGGCCACAGACTAACAAACAGCTCAGAAAGTTCATAAAGTAGTTAATGTAGGGTTTTTGTTTTTATGTGATTGTTTCGGATATGTTGGTCATTATAGCAGCTCCGCCTGCTGATCTGCTTCTAGGATGGTGTGGCTACGCTGAACTAAGCAGATGGAGCTGCGGCATGGACAGGAGACCCAGGAGTGGGGAGCAGCATACGGGAACGCATCCTTTATACGTCATATTTTTCTGCCAAGTGGTCAGGATTGATCTTCATCTCATAAAAAGCATTTTTAATCAATGGTTCCCCAAACTTTTATGGTGATTCTGTATATGCTGGTTATACACACACATTCACACAGACATAAGTGAAAAATAAGTATTTCTTTTACCATTTACGCTACAGATGATCAGTTTCACAAATTTCAAATCACAAAAATATGGTTGCAGTCCTAAAAAATACGACCTATGAAACTTTTTTTTCCTTCATCCAACAAAGAAATCAGAAACTACTGACAGACAGAATGAGCAGCCTTGTATTTAGCGGGTGATGTGTGCGTTTCCAGGTGGGGCGTACCTTTTAGAGCCTGGGCGAACGATCACAGGCTGTGACGGCTGAGCGCTAAGGGGCCGCTCGCATTTCCTGTGTTTATGTTTCCCCGGCTCTGACAGAAAGGGCAAAGAAAGAGAGAGATCAGGGCATGCTGATGCGTCCCATAACACCGTCTGGCATCAAGCTAAATCACTATGAGAGTGAAAACTGTTTGGATGTTAAACCACACAGCTGCAACGTGATAGGATTGTAGGGTACAGAGGTTTGCAAAAAGTACAACTGACTCTCAGTTTTAAAATATTTCTAGCAGCTGACCTGATTTTTGTGTTTTCTCCATAGAAAATGCTCCTGTTTCAGTTCCTCCTATGTATTAGAATAAAGGACAAACCTGTTTTTGCCTTTAAATGCGTGTATTGTTTAGATGTAGACATGGAAAGTACCCCTGGCTCAGCGTTTCTGTCTTTAAAGGTATAGAGGTACAGACAGTCAGCTTACCTTTCTCACCACAGTTCGTTGAAAATGGCCGACGGTCATAAGAGAAAAAGTGTCTATGAATTGTATGAGAAGAAAAGGGCTCAGAAGAGACAGATATGTCCCAGAATGCTTTGCACAAAGAGAGCATCATGGGATTCGTTGCCACAGCGGCCCTCTGTCGCCACAGGCTGTCGCTACCCTACAGCGGCGACTAATGACAAAGATGGTACATTCACCACGCAGTGAAGGAGGAGGTACGTGACCAACCAGGAGCAGAAAGCAGTGATCATCTGTCTGAACGGTCAGTTTGCTATAAACTCCACTATATAGTCCCCGCTTCTATGAGCTATGAGAACAGCACATTTTAAACAGGGCGTGCACAGGGAGAAACGGGCCCATGCACGCTGTTGTACACGTATTTTGATTAAAGTGGACCTTAAACACTGACATAACACTACTAAGAAACATCTCCAACCACAGCTTATCCGTGATCAATGTCGTCTAGACGGAGCAACTGAGGCAAACATCTTTTACTACAGCTATTAATACGGTCAATCTGCACCTGCTTAGGGCTATGTTGGTTAAAGATGTTCCTTTCCCCTGTCGCCACATCCTTGCTCAGGATGCAACAGCTGTGGAATCAGAGCATCACTCACATTAAAAATATCTTCTCAAATAAATCCAGAAAGACAGTACTTAAAATCATGTCATCTTATCTTCAACAAACTGGACTAAAGCTAAGGATTTAAGGAAACATAAATAAGATCAAGTAGGTGGCGATAATGCTCCATTTGGTTGAAAGTCGCCAGTAAAACAAGAAGAAGAAGAAGAGCATCACTCAGCTGGGCTATCTTCAATAGCTTTCCTTTGAACCAGCTGTCATAAAATGATTGATGTTGAAATTTCTGTTTGGCTGTGACTCCATCAGGAGAGAAATATCAGCTGTGCTGCTGCCATCAACACCTTTGTTTATAGATGCTGGAGATTGGGCTGTTTTTCCAGTGTAGTCCTGTTTCTCTGACTGTGACTGGCTGGATGTGCTCTCTTCATCCTCTGACATGGGAGCTGGCCGCCTTTTACAACTACTTTTTCTATGTCTGCTTCTGTCTCCTTGAACCCCAGTCGGCCTCAGCAGATGGCCACTCACACTGAGCCTGGTTCTACTGGAGGTTTCTTCCTGTTAAAAGAGAGTTTTTCCTCTCCACTGTCACTACAAGCATGCTTAGTGTGAGGGATTGCCTTTGAGTCAACGAGTCGATGCAATCAACTGATTTTCTTTAGATACAAAAGTTTAGATTAGTCTGACCGGATGATCTGGTTGAACTGGAAAGTGCCTTGAGATGACATGTGTTGTGAAATGGCGCTATAGAAATAAACCGAATTGAAATAAAATCTGTATAACTGGCTATTAAATTGTCTTTAAAGAGACATCTATTGTTCATTGGCAGAATATAAATGA